GGGATCGGGTGCTATTGTCAACAAAATCCTAGCTTGGCTAAACCCCTCCACTATCTACTCTTGCCCGTAGCCAGCTTTTACAAAGAAGGGGAGCTTTTGTCAAGGGGGTAGCTTTTTGACAGTTTTGGCTAAAAACCCGGGGGTGGGGCTAAAAACCATGCGAAAAGTGTTAAGAATGGTAAAAACCTGCATGATTTTGAAAGAATTTCTACCGGCAGGGAGGGTTCGGGGAGTTTCTCCTCTCCCAGCTTCCCCTTGGCTACGGACCTGCTACTTCAATTGGTGTCCATTATTAGAGGTAGCATTTTAGAAGATGAGTAGGGAATGAGGATCTGTGTACATGTTTATCATGGTGACTCATGTTGTGCGCTAGTGCCAAGTATTTTTTATAAATCCCAATTCACTGATTATTTTATCGGTATTTTATATCTGTGACAGAGGAGTCGATATGTTCGTCGATTCTTTTTATTTAAATGGAATCGAATCACAGATTTCATACTGACATCAAATTGTATGAATACATCTGAAAGGCTCAACCATGGACTAGTGGCTCATGGCTTATCCAAGGGTCGAGTCTGGGGTATGTATGTATGTATGTATCTTTTATTCCCGATTTTAAATCGGATTTCATATAAACTAATTACATTGTTTGATTAATACAATAAACATAAAACATAAACATAAACAAGGTGACAACATATTTACAATCTTTAAAAGTAGTATAAAAATTTCAGATTACAAGATCTTCTGCAAGTTTATGCAAATAAGGGTACGAGACTAATCCCTGAGTCTGATATGACTATATGAATGTATCTCAGGATGAGCTCTAAATTATGTATCTCAAATGACTCCGAGGCAGGGCCGCATACAGAAGCACAGATTTCTCTTGGATCGAACGCTGGGTGGTTGTTGGGTAACGCAATGTCAATAATGAGTTTATTCCTCATGTGATTGTACTCATTACAGTCGATTAGCATGTGATTTATAGCATCCTTATAGAAATTGCCACATCTATCGCAAAGAAGGTTGGAGTCATTGACGGGCATGGCTAAAACTTTGACTGCTGTGAGAATATACGGAAGTAGATAATTCCGTTTTCTGGCTAAGTTCCAAAGATTATGAGCTCTCAAAACAGAAACGGAAATTCTGATGTCATTGCGTTGAGATTCACTTTGAACTAGGAAGCGTTGTCTGACTACATATTTACAAATGCGTTTCCACAAGATGTTATTTGGAAAATACCCGTTGTCTAGATATTGAATCAGGTATTGTTCTAATTCGTAGGTTTTCAGAATGTTTGAAATGTCGGCGACAAATCCTGCCTGCCGTTGATTTCCGCCGTAAAGCAAATTTGCTCTAAACAGAAAGATGTCCTTTGTCAACGTCAGCTGTTGCATGTTGCAAAGCAGACCGAGAAACGACAGCTTTCGTAGGTCAAGTGTGAACTGGACTGGTAACAGATCAGTTAAAGCGTATACAATATCAGTTCTGGTAGATTTGAATAATTCAAATAGACTTTTGAGGATGAAACGTTGAGCAATTTCTAACTGAAGAATTTCCGATTTTGTGATATTAAACCACAGCTCGCATCCGTAAAGTGCAGTGGGAATACAAATGGTCTTAATTAGATGTATGCCAGTTAAAGGGGCGAGACCCTTCGGATGTACACCAATTCCTGCCAGCGATGCGAAACTGCCTTTTAACTTATGACACGCGCTGGAGACTGCCAGTGTTAATTAAAGTCATATTTAACTTGACATCGCAAGATGATGACACGGTGATCACCACGATTATTTTGAGATAAATGAACCTTGAGAGAGCTATCACCATAAAGCTACCTTTTTCAGAAAAGTATTCTGCCCTACATAATCTCAAAAATCAATCACTCCGCTATCTCTAGAATTTTTTTTCTTCCCAGGCTTGGAAATGTTTCCTGATAGTTAAGTACTTAACTTATCGAGAATAAACCTCGATTCAATTGTCAAACGCTAGAAGACGCTCTACTGGGCCAGAAAAGGAGAAATAACCTTTTTATACAGTAAACAAAGTAGTATCCCAACTCCGAACTATATTATCAGTTTAATGCTGGAAATATGTTCCAGAAACCTTTTGGAGTCAATGATGCATTTATATATTTTTTTGGATGAAAAACAGCATTCTCCGCCAACATTACTACACCGAACGAAATCAACTGAACACAAAACTTAATGCAAAAATATAACACGGTGCACAACTGCCACAAAAATGATTTGCAACTGGATTTCATTTCAGGCATCCAACCAACATCCAACAACTTTGTTAAAACTCTATGATATCGAACATGGAAAGCAATTAGATATTAGAACTTTATTTGCTAACATCCTACCTTGTATCCCATGGGTAAATAAAATTACTAAAAGCGAAACAATCTCCATAAATGCGACAATATCATATTTAAACTGACTGACTAGTGATTGAGATTTTTAATAACTAAATCACAATCAGTCTTTTAAAGCCCTACCGTGCAGAAAATCTACACACATATTCTTTCTCACTACTTTTTCGTAGATCAAAATGAAATAAACTTTAGTACCTATTTAACTTACTATGCCTGCTAATGTAGTAATGCACGTCCTTACTGTTTTCTTAGGCAGTCCCTCAAATTTATGATATTGAAACGTTTCGGTGTGTATTTTATTCGACGGCGATGATAAATGTGGGTGTCCCAAAGGATGCATTTACACTATCGCTTTCCCATCCCTCGCGGTTAAAGTAGGTACTTTATTCATAGTCTCATCATGTAGTTTATGCAATTCATAGTAATTGTTAATACATTAATAAAACTGATGAACTAATGGGGATGGCTTTTGTTTGAAACGAGCCAACCCGGTAATGTAATAGGAAATGATCGAGGGCTGGAAATAGAAAATTGGGATAAACACTTTCAACGTTTAGATTATAAAACGGGCATTCATTTATCTCATCCTAAAAATCACGGACAATGCCCGATATATTACCATGAAAGGTTAGGATGGGCAAAGTCCGAGGAATAGTTCAGGCGTATTTAAAATAGGCTTCTATTAATTTCATTAAAACTAAATTATGATATTTTCTCAATATCATTCCCCTCGTACCCAAGTCACATTTGTTTTGATTCATCGGCCAGCGCCTGGCCGATTGAGTATTTTGTTCAAAACTTATAATGACAACATTTTTCAGGCAGTTTGAAAATCGTGCGTATTTTGAACTTGCCGATGGATGCATGGGTGAAAAGACGCGTATTTTGGTACATGAAATAGTAAACTATTGTTTGCAATTGGGATGTTGGCGGTTTGTTTTCATGTGACCGAATTAACTCTAAAATGTTTCTTTATAAATGTATTTTACTTTGTTATCATTACCATTGGGCACTTATGGCTATGCATTTATATCCACAATAAAACCATTCGTTTATCTATGAATGCCACCCACACAAGCTACGCATCTGCCATCTTTATTATGGTGCCGTTTCTAAAATTAATACCCGATATTACATTGATGCAACTAACTTGATATGTCTAGACCTTCCGTTGTTTAAGGCGACAAATCACCCATCTATACTTGTATATATTGATTGTATGCTAACTGTGACTCTACAATCGAAATGACACGTTAATCATTTAATCAGATATGAATAAGGTGTATGCCAATTGTGTCTCTGCAATCCATTGTGTAAGGACGTTTATATCATCCAGTTTCTAGTAGATTGTATGCTAACTGTGTCTCTGCAACCCATTGTTTAAGGACGTGTAGTTACTTTGATGATGTTACTGCGCGTGCGTCCCTTTGTAATGACATGTTTACTAGTTAGGGTTAAACTATACTAAGTAGACTATTTAGTATAGTCTTACCCTAATGTCTGCAAGGGCGGGGAGTCAATCCGATCCCCTCTCGATTTTTTCAATAGTACTTTTTTTGCAAATGTTTTCAAGTCTCCATTATTTTATTTAGCTTGAGCCACAGATATAAGGCACCTTTTGGCGTAAAACCAAGGTGATTGGGGTTAGAGGGGCAACGTATGATAGTTGGAACTTGATGCATGCCAGTAAGATTGAAATTCTTACTCTCTGGCATCAGAATTATGACGATACCTTCTTCCGAATTTTAGATATAATGTTTTTATTCTCCCCTACCCCCAATTTTTCAATTTCACTGCTTCGATGTTTGTGCAGTTGCTAGGTGGTTGCTAGGCAACATCATGGACCGAAATCATATTGAAACAATACCAAGTCATACATTAATACATCTGCATACTAAATCACTGATTGGCATTTGTTGTACATCATGAAATATTTTTGCTAAAGCCAAAAACAAACTGAACTCGACTATTCAATTTCACGTTCATTGATTTCAATGGGATTTCGCGATACCTGCTTTCTTGATCTTGGAAAATGTGTAACTTCAGTTCTAGAAAAGCTTTTTATTTTTTTTTTATTTTAGTTTTTTTTGAAAGATAATAGAGTATTCTTTAAGGCAGCGACGTATTTTTTGGCACAGAAAATTATTGTGAAAGAAAATTTACAATTTATCACCTCGACTTTGACCTCAACTTGACCTATATTGACCTACTTTTTCTATGAAAATAAAAAGTTTTCTGAAGACGTAATTGAATAAGGTTAACAACAATATCAACAATAATGAAATCAGACAAGTAATAAAAAATAGCAGAGGGGGGGGTCCAAATTACCCTCTCTTTGCGAGTTAATGTTATTAAAAAAGGTTGCAGACATTAGGGTTTGTGTAAATTGTATCACAAAAATACGTATAATTATTTTTTTATTCGTATATGTATGATACCGTTTTCTTACATAATTGCAATACATTCCGCATACTCGAGTAGTAATATTTGTCAGACGTAAATGTAGTTGTATATTTATCACATTAGGCAAATACAATATCAAATTGAAATATAATGACATTACTATAAAACCTTTTAAGCGTATACCTGAACTTCCAGTCTGCAGATATAGTGCCTTGCATTTATCATAACAAGCACTATAAGACGGAGAGTAAATATTACAAGAATTAACATGACTTCGTGTATATAGCACACACTCTCCAGTGCTGGTTGTTCTATCATCTCATTATCAACCAGAACCGACAAACGTTTATCGAGCTCTATACGTTTTTAACTAATAGGGATATATCTTAAAATGGTGAGCAAGGCTGTTTCCACGTCTAGGCAGGGGTTAACACCCGGAGACGAGATGAATACTTCTAACATAGACATCTCAGAGAACAGGTAAGTGACTAATATGAATCATAGCATAAAATACCCTCACATATTGCACTGCAGACAGTCAGATAGTAAATTGCATGGGGATGGGGGGGGGGGTATGATATACCATGCCAATCAGATTCAGGCTTAGATTCAAGTATTTTGATTATTCTATGTCTTCCTTTTAAAACATCAATGAAATTCCGTGCAGTTTTGATGGTGTTACATTTTCATATGATAGCTGACTTAGATCTTATAACTATTATTTAAACTTCAAGTTGTATGTACATTTATACATGTACATTTATACAGTGCACACAATAAATAAATGACACCTGGATTTGCTGAGGTGAGGATTTTCCATTTTAAAATGAAGAGAATTTTCAAGAGGCTATACATCAGTGAATGAGAGTATACAAAATGTAAAATATACAAAACTTAAGGGATGTGTATCTAGACATTATTGGAAAGTATGAAGTCTCAAATCACCATGGTCTGGAAATGGTGACATAAAATCCAGGTGTCATTTATTTATGGTGAGCACTTTACATGTACATTTTTACATACTAAATATTATAAACAATAACCTATGCTTATTGTGATGTTGCAAAAATATATAATTTACCATAGCATTTTGAATCACACTTTCAATTTAAAACAAATATTTTTGTGATTCGACATTTTTATCCGTTTTAAAAATGCCAGAGCCCTCTTAGTTCTCTAATATACGATTTTGTATAAGTCATGTTACAGTCTTCCTTACAATTTCCTTAACAACTTTGAATCTGAAAATAACAGAACGAACACATTTTTATTTTATTTTAATAATTGACTCTGTCTACACGATACCGAAATCAATAACCGAGTCGACTTTCACTTTCATTGCATAATGTATACCAAGATCTCAAGTATACGCTAGCTAATGTACACGGGGGATAAGCAAAACGAGGGCGAAGCCACGGACTGCGACTCGCGTATTTCAAAACGAGGTTACAACGCATTATAGCTGAACAATGGCGGTAAGTCCAAACTTAATTTGGAAGGCATGTTAGGATTTGGGGTAGATTATTGGTTTGGATATTCTACAGAATAGCTAGTATGTTCCAGTCGGTGATCAACATATTCATACTCCACCTGCAATGGCATTCTTGGTGCTCGGCTGTCCAATAGTTTAGCATGAACACAAATGATATCGAAATCTGCCACAAAAAATGTAATTTTGTCAATATTTGTCCCTAATATACCGATTTAAACAAAGGAATCAGAAATGACATCGAATTAATATAATTATTCATGTTCTGTTGTTACAATTACATCTTCGTGTGATATTGGGTAAGCGGAAAACGTACAATTACATAGAAAATTGGAATTTATAATAGTCGCAGTCCATCCATCTGCCCAACGCAGTCCGCGACTCAGTGTTGCTTTATATCTGAAGCTGAACGCAATCACAGCCAAAGGTAGATAGCACAATGTGTGTACAGGTGTGGCCGAAATGGAGCAACATTGGACAAAATTGAATATAAAGGGCTATTTTAATAGACCTACATCGTGTCTCAATCCATTCTGCAAATATATACAAGCTGTCAAATACAGCTGAAATCATGAATTTATGGTAGCTAGCAATATTGATGGACTGTTAGAAAGATCATCCAAAATTACATTAACTCACCAACTCTCCAATTATTTGATATTTTCCTGATATCTTAAATACTAGTTAATGTACCCTTCCCCAACAGCTTTTAATTGCATCATCAAAAAGTTAATTGTTTCGCATTTCTACTTCTTATAAAAAGTCTCACCACTATCCAATTATCTATATATTTAACCCTATCCACAAATTGGTTTGTAATAAACATATTACGTTGTCATCTTACGCTCGACTGTTCTGCCAAAAACGCTGTTGAATTGCCATATTTCTAGGTCTTAAACGATACAATATAGCAATTTGGGACATTGATTCAGGTAATAGATATATGTTAATCAACGTAACTTTGAATGATAATCTGGATGCTGACTTTCTTTTCCTGAAACAATAATAGCGTAGGAATATAGTTTACACTATCTTATTTATTTCGTGTTCGCGGCTGGACTGAGTTGCTTAGAATATCAATGGAGGCTGTGTTGCGTTGTTGAAATAGCTTTGTTTACTGGACTGCGTCCACTATGAATGCGCAGTTTGAATCTAATTTTCTCCTCATGAACACATTCTATTATCAAATCATTTTCACGAATTATACTCGGAGCCTCAACTAACCTTTAGATATCAGAAACGTGTTAAAACTCCTTTCAAATGTATAGTAAATTAAATAATATGCACATATTTTACAGGTAAAATCAGAACTTTGCTACTGTTTTAGCTTGATCTGGACAACTGCTTATTTTCTTATCTACAGACCAACAGTAGATACAGAGTAATATTTTGGTCACCGATTAGACACTACGATAGCATTTAAAATACCTGGATTTCTCTATTTTGTCGGAAGAAGCAGAAGGCACTGCCGGATGTCCCTCCATTTTGGCGCTGGGCTGCGGTGTAAAGTTACGCGAGTCGCAGTCCGTGGCTTCGCCCTCGTTTTGCTTATCCTCCGTGATGTAGCAATATACCTATACGCGCTAACTTTTAACGTGCGAAATATTCTTATCTCCGCATGGGAGAGTTCAGTTTCGTGGTACAACTTTCTCAACATCCGGGCACTTTCCCATTGGAATAACATTGGCTGTGTTTTTCAATGACGCATTGTGACTTTATTAGAGGTTTATCATGAATTATATTTGCACATACGATAGATATGATCATTATAAAGACATTTGACAAGTTTTTAAAAAATATATTCACCAGAATCGTCAAAATCCTAAGTTTAAAATTCAAGTGACGTCACAGATTTCCCGGATTTTGCTCAGTTCCCGGAACTTGCTCAGAGGCCATAGAAAAAATAATCGAAGCAAATTGAATTTCCATCTTCTTTTCTAATTATTGTCTGGATTATAGAATATTATTATACATATGTACTAATGTTGAATCGGGATAATGCCTATGACGTTGTGTTTTGCGGACCAATAGAAAATTGTCCATTTTATCGTGTTGCATTGCGGGAAATATTTATGTTAATGACCAGTAATTTCGTAACGCGAATAGGACTATTATACCGAAATACCCATTTAAATAGCCAGAAAACTAAATAGAATGCACTCAATTGGAAAGGACCATTGCATAAATAGATTGTCCATGTTCATGTAATGTTAAATCTGATAAGCTCTAGAACAAAATAGCATTTTCATTAAAATATATGTCATTAAAAAATTGCATTGACTACTTGGCTCGATTTGAAATAGAGCAGCATTATTGACATGCGAAAAAACATTCAAAATAATGTTAATAAAAATCCCCAATCCAGTTTTGTAAGGGCTAACTATATCAAAGAGAGAATAAGATCTAGCGAGCAGCTAGAATATTCCTGGCTTACATGTATGTCATTCATTTTCATGTCTATTTTCCAAAAATCCCCAAGGTGCTCACTTTATTTCAGGAAAACTAGATTTTTACGATAATATATTATCTTTCTATAAGAACGGTTACCATTCTTATTATTAGGGAGAATTTAAACATTTTTCACCCATTTTTGCACTTTTAATCCATTATAACCTCACCAATTTATAACATATCGTGAATCTGTAACGTTTTTCAAACAACAATAATAATGTTAACGGATACTAATATTTTGTATTCCGATATATGTTTTATTTTTCAGATCATTCCTGGTATCGCTACTTTGCGGTCTATACGCATTGTTCATGATTGTCAGTGGATTTGTCATATGTTCTAACTCGTCAATTACTAGGAGCAACCCTAACTCCCATTACTATGTTGACGTGAGTTGGAAAATTAACAATTTCTTGATTTATATAGTACGTTCTGTCATGAGTAATATTTTGCACTTATTGATCCACATTTTAACGATCGGAGGTATTTATTAACTTTATTTTTAGCTCACATGGTGAGCTTTTGCAATCACTCACTTGTCCGTCTGTCTGTCCGTCCGTCCGTCCGTCTGTCCGTCTGTCCGTCCGTCAACAATAGTGGCACGTTTTAAAACCTCTGTCGATAGGATTCCTGTTTTAAGTTATTTCTGTTCAACATCAATACAGAAAACTCCCCTATGACTCTTGGTTCAAAAGCTCGCCTATTTTCAAAATGGCCGCCACTTTTGTCTCGCGAAATTCACTTTTGACCCATTTGTTTTAAAACCTCTGTCGATATGATTCCCGTTTTAAGTTATTTCTGTTCAACATCAATACAGAAAACTCCCCTATGACTCCTGGTTCAAAAGCTCGCCTATTTTCAAAATGGCCGTCACTTTTGTCTCGCGAAATTCACTTTTGACCCATTTCCTAGCTTTACAAATAATTTCAGGTGTCCTTCACTGTAAAAATCCATGTCAATGTAAAGGGTAGATATATGTAATAATATTGTTACAAAAGATCAGCGAAAAATTATATCCATTCTTTTTATTTTCAGCCATTTTAGTTAACATTGATTTGTCTATCTGACTCGCGAAATCCACTTTCCGTCAATAACAGTGGCACGTTTTAAAACCTCTTTCGATAGGATTCCTGTTTTAAGTTATTTCTGTTCAAAATCAATACAGAAAACTCCCCTATGACTCCTGGTTCAAAAGCTCGCCTATTTTCAAAATGGCTGCCATTTTTGTCTCGCGAAATTCACTTTTGACCCATTTCCTAGCTTTACAAATAATTTCAAGTGTCCTACATCGTAAAAATCCATGTCAATGTAAAGAGTAGATGTATGAAATAATTTTGTTACGAAAAATTATATCCATTTTTTTTTATTTTCAGCTATTTTAGTTAACATTGATTTGTTCATCTGTCTCGCAAAATCCACTTTTGGACCATTTACCTTAAACCCTCTGTCGATAGGATTTCCGTTTTAAGTTAATTTTGTTCAACATCAATACAAAAAACTCTCCTATGACTCTTGGTTCAAAAGCTCGTCTATTTTCAAAATGGTCGCCATTCTTGTTCCGCGAAATTCACTTTTTGCCCATTTCCTAGCTTTACAAATAATTCCAGCTGTCCTGCATTGTAAAAAGCCGTGTCACTGTAAAGAGTAGTTGTCTGAAATAATTTTGTTACAAAAAATGGGCAAAATATTATATCTTTTTTATTTTTATTTTCAGCCATTTTAGTTAACATTGATTTGTCCATCTGTCTTGCGAAATCCTCTTTTGAACCATTTGCTTAAAACCTCTGTCGATAGGATTCCAGTTTCACATTATTTTTGTTCAACATCAATACAAAAAAACTCCCCTATGACTCCTGGTTCAAAAGCTTGCCTGATTTCAAAATGGTCGCCATTTTTGTCTCGCGAAATTCAATTTTGGCCTATTTCCTAGCTTTACTAATAATTTCAGGTGTCTTGCATTGCAAAAAGCCATGTCACTGTAAAGAGTATTTGTATGAAATAATTTTGTTCCAAATAATTGGCAAAAAATTATATCCGTTTTTTTTCTCAGCCATTTTACTTAACATCAATTTGTCCATCTGTCTCTCAGTCAGTCCAAAATAGTGGCAAGTGGCTTGAAATAATTTTGTTACAAAAAATCAGCAAAAAATTATATCCGTTTTTTCTGTCACCATGTGAGCCCAGTACCCACGGTACTAATTTTTACCTGAAACTAACATACTCAAAACGTTTTGAGTTACGCTAGTCTCAGAATTTACATGATATTTATATACACCCAATAGTATAATATAGAATAGTGAATATAATATCACATCTCTATGATAATACGTCTCTGGTAATTATTTAGTCATCAGACTTTCAAATGACATCTCTTAAAAAGCGAAATATAATGCATCATTTTTCCAAATTACTATGACTTTATTGGTCAAATACGACGGGTCTTTTGCATCAATATATGTAAAATGTCAAGAGTAATGCCTGGGTCACATATGCTCCGATCCATCGGCCGGCGCCCCGGCGATTGAGTGTTTTGTTCAATATTTTATTCAATTTTGAACAAAATACTCAATCGGCAGGGCGCCGTAGTGAAAATCGGAGCAAATGTGACCAATGCATTACGCACATACTTCGTTTGTATTGTTTGTTCCAGTACACTTTTATGGATATCTTGCTTGAAATGGTGTGATTTATATATTTTTGATTGTTTCATGATATGAGAAGTCTGAAGTGAGAAATTTTGCATGGTTGACACATGTACATATTTTGTCACTCAGTGTTAATGCTTTTCAGATGTTCTTCATCTACATGTTCTCCATGGCGATAGTTGTGATGACGCTCCTCTTCGTCATTATTCTACCAAAGAGGAAACAGTCAAACGCTAATCGTCGCTCAAACGATATAGCATTGCAAAACGGAAGTGGCCCACATGAATGGGAACTCGAGGGTTACCCGGATGTAGCCCATGCAGCCGAGGGAGCGAACTTCTACATGCGTATCGGGTTCACAGGTGAGCGCGAATAGTAAACCTATTTTATCTTTTGATTTTAGGGTAATTATATACATAAAACAATTCCAGTTTTCTTCTGAAGCGATTTATTTATCAATTTATTCAAAGCATCGTTAAGATGTCATTATCTTCGCCGTTTCATATAACTATTGAACATCTGATTAGTTTATGCAGTCGTCAATATTTTGTGAAAATTATTTTACAAGTTTAATCTTGTCCCTTACCAAGGAGCATCAAATTAATTACAGGCTACGGTGTATCTCTTGTGCTAATGCTGAAATTTCCGATTTTGACAGGGTTTTCTGTTGGGACGATGCTCTATGGTTGTTTTAAGATATCAGAAGCATTCAAAGATGGACGGAGTTCTTCTATAGATTGCAAGGGGGTCACCTTTCTCATTTGTTCATTTCTCCAGATAGTCTTCACCTTCATGCAAACAATGTTCATCTTTAAAAACCACACGGTATGGCCCCTTCTTTTTTCTTCACAATTTAGACCTAACTCTTTAGAGCAAAACAAAGTTTATATTCATCACAATATACGTCTCTTTTTTAAATATCTCGTTTTATATTTTTCGATATAATTTTAGATATAATTATGTTATTTGTTAGGTATATTAATTTGTCCAGAAATAGCAATGTGAGACCACGTCGGGCCTAAAGTTCATACTCATTGGAATATTTTGTTTTCTGCCTTCGGACATTATTATACTGATAGCCAAGAAACAGAAACACAGATATTACATACTGACATATACCAGGCGGTCGTTCAATAATTTCTAGGGTCTTAAATATTTTTTCGTGAGTATTTCACATAACAACAGTCATTGTAAGATATGCTGATATTTTACGAATCAATAACTATATATTTTTGGGATGTTATGTGAAAATTTTATAAAAAAATTAAAAACCTTTAAAACGAGAGAAATTTTCTGTGAACTTAATTATTAAATGACCAGGTAATTGACACCAGAAAATAAGATTTATGGGTCAATGTCCACCGTCTTCAACTTTGTCCAAGGGACATCCTTAAGCGAAGTATACTTAATTTTCAGATAGTTGTCAACGTCCACAAAAGTTTTGTGAAATGGTGCATGTGGCATCTAATAGCCACCAACTTGTGTGTCTGGCTATGGTACGAAATAACAGAGATTGAAAATGACATCAGAGAAGACAAAGATGAACCTTTACTGATAAGTATGTTTAATGATATTAGCGAATTTGTATACTAAGTAGTTTTGGTAGTTTATAACTGCACGCGGGTTACCGAACCATAGAATTAGTATCTACATAGTCTTCATGATTCCTTACTTAGCTGGCAGCTATCAATGTTTTAAAGCAAAGGAAGACGTTTTTTTGAAAAATGATCATTTTCTGAAAAAACTGTAAGACACAGTGTAAGAATGCCATCATAGCCAATGGGTCGCAAGATTGACTGTATTGGCCTCTGAACCATTGGTCAAGGTCAATTTACGTCATATTTATACATTATTCAGTTCTAGACCAACTGAACCAGTATTAATTGAGTGGCAACTATAACAACTTTGAATATTTCAAAATAGAATGTGAATACGATCTGATCATTAAAATTCATGTGAAATACAAGGCCATACGAGATGTTCACCAATTTTGTAACAACTATATACTAGGAATTTGAATAAGTTTGAATATTTTTGTAATTCCAATTCGAAGCAATCATCAGAAACGCCAGTGTTGGGAGTAGTGGAGGGCAGAATGATGAACCACTCGAAAATAATGAGACTATGGCAAGTGAGGGGAATGTTGAACCAATAGGTAAGCACATGATCTGAGCAAGTTTTAATGATCATGAGATTTAAATTATATTTTGCAAAAAAACGATACAACTCAAGTTTTATACGCTTACTTTTTTTGAACAGAAAGTTTAAAAAAAATTCTGGAAATAAACTTCTTTTGAGATTTGTGATATCTTGTTTTTTAATTTTTTTTTCAATCATGGTATGCATAACATAATACTGAGGCAGATATGACTTCCTTAATACATTTTGATATATTTTTCAGTTTGCTACGACTACGAGAGCATTGCTGAAAGAAGTTCTGAGTACTTGTTCCCGTGTGTTATAGAATATAGCCTCTTAGGGGCTACCCTTGTTTACATAGTTCTATGCTCAATAGGCACACCACTCGAGCTGCCCTCATCTAAAAATGACAAACCGGAACCGGAAGTGAATCGGGATTGTCATAAAGCGAACTCAGGATTGTTTGGTGGCATTCTCATTTTCATGGTGACAATCGTAGCCGTGGCAGTGTTTTTCGTACTCGTGGATAATCTAACGATGCCAGTGGAGGCAATGACAGTATTTTACATCACAGAGATTGTACTTCTATCCGCAACATTTGCCGGGTGTCTCATTAGTATTCTAAAACTGAAATATTTGAGATTTTCTCCCGGTGAGGGTGGTATAGATTCAGTATTGTTGATGGTGTCACTTGGAGCTGTCTTCATGTTCCATTTATTCATGATAATCTCATCAGCCGAACAGACCCATGTATTTGGATTCATAGGAGTTCTATCGATAATTGTGTCGGTGTTTGCCATCATCCAGGCAGCCCTTCAAGTTGTTATGATTGTAGATGGCATGCTGCGTTCCAGTGTACACGACACACATCTGCAAAGTAAACCAGGCAGGTCATTGGTTACTTTCGTCATCATTGCAAACCTAGCGCTATGGGCAATAAATACTTTTGAAGCCAAGAAAGCGGGACATTCAGGGATACATGCACAATATTACGGAAGGGTTGTTTGGTCAATTATTCAGCACGTCTCTATACCATTGGTGATATTTTACAGATTCCATTCAACCATCTGCCTCTCTGATATTTGGATAAACGCTTACACGAGAAAAGAAGATTAGACATGAACGTTAAGTGATCTAGATTACCCCCACATGTACATTCACTCTAGAAGTTTGTTAAGCAAAAGTCACTTTTTGATAAAAAGATTTATGACTTTGTTGGATTTTGAATGTGTTTTTTTTCGTAATACAGAAATAATATAATTTAAGACCTACTGTTCTGTGTTCAATTATTTAAGACTTTCAGGTTACACACCTAAATATCTGTCGTATCAGAATCAGTCTTTGAATTCATTACAGTCATATGTAACACCTTATTTTTTCAATTTCCCTCATTTAAAAGTTTTGGATTTAGAAAATCTATAAATTGCCTCCTATCGATGAAAGCACTAATGGTCATGGCCAAAGGTTTGCTCACCTTTTAAGACTGATGACGAAACAAAATTGAGAGGACTGATGACTAAACAAAATTGAGAGGACTGATGACTAAACAAAATTGAGAGGACTGATGACTAAACAAAATTGAGAGGACTGATGACTAAACAAAATTGAGAGGACTATTGACTAAACAAAATTGAGAGGACTGATGACGAAACAAAATTGAGAGGACTGATGACGAAACAAAATTGAGAGGACTGATGACTAAACAAAATTGAGAGGACTGATGACTAAACAAAATTGAGAGGACTGATGACTAAACAAAATTGAGTTGACTAATGAATAAACTAAATTGTGATGACTAAGCATATTAAATAAACCTTTTTTGAATTTGAACTATGTATTTCATAAGAACGTGTAAATATTAATATGCATTGCATTACATAGGAATTATCCACAACGATCCGACGTTATTTCATTTTCTGTGGCAGGCGGTGTAGCTTGGTCGACAGTATGCTGCTATTAAGCTCTACGATATCATAAAGGTCTAATAAGCCAGCATAAAAGTGACATTGTTGCTTTTGAAATTACTCTAGACGAACATTAAACACACCACGAAACATATGAGATGTGTCAGAGCCACAAGAATCTACAAATATAAATTCACATAAAGCAAATTTTTCGACGATTAAAAAAAAAAGATAGCATGCAGAAAATAACGGGAGTACAGTATTTTGGATGTAAGATTTTCTAAATTTTGTAAGAATGCAATTCAAAGAGTTAAAGACGGGGTTTATTTCATCAGGGATTCATACATTGATAACCTCACATATCAAAGGAAAATGCCAATGCCATTGAATACCTACCGGTTTGGAGAGAACAACTTTCATAAATGAAGTCCTTTGAAGAAGGATGTAACATGCAAACAAGCAAGCGATCTTGCATTCGCATGTACTGATGAGATTCTTGGGATGAGTTGTATTGGGATGAGATGTCTTGAGGATGAGTTGTCTTGGGATGAGTTGTCTTAGAAATGAGTTGTCCTGTGACCGGATTAATTAGTTAATTATTTTCATTGTGTCTATTTCCATTATATTATTAGATTTCATTATATGTTTCCATTCAAAAAGATTTTCATTCTAGACTAACAATTGTTTCCCTCGTGTCTGGCAACGGCCGTAAAGCCATCGTTTGTATGTTCAACACAACATCAAACACGATATCAAATTGAAATACACTGGGCTACTAATAGATTAATCTTTTAAAGCGTGCACCTTAAATTCTGCAGATAAAGAATCTTGTATTTATCATAACAAAAATTATAACATGTTAGAGGGCGGAGACATTTGCTGGAATTAGACCATGCGTTTTAGAAAGGCGCTTAAGGTTTTAACCTAGTTTGAAAAATACGTGAAATCACGATTGCGGTTTTACAAAAGCGCTTTTCCAAAACTCCTAGAACCCTAGTCACTTAAAAACGCCTTAGATCGTTAGGCTCTTTTGGAGATGTAGTGTTATACCGATCGGTTTTTGTAAAACGCCGTTTTTACCATTTTTCCTAAACGAAATAAGACGTATTTCGAGTGCTATACATTTGGGCCATGGCAAACATACAGGAAATGATGGATGGGACCCAAAACATGCAATAGGTCATTAAATTATATCACAAAAATTGAAAGTAAGTTCACATCACTGGCAAAAGTCTCGGTTATGTTTTCTCTTAGATGCTAGAATAATACATTTATTGTAGATGTACACATCTGCTGGATATTCTCCACATCTACATCGTTAAAAGTGCACGAACGTTTTAGAAATGACAGGTGTAATTCCAAAATAAAATTCCTAAGGCGCTTTAGGATTGTTGGTGTAATCAGTATGCCGATTTTGTAAAGCGCTTTCCAATTAAAGCACTTTTAGCGTTTTGTCTGGTGTAATTCCAGCAATTGAATCATAATCACCCGACTCTCCTTACGTGCTAGTTGTTCTATTTTATTAACTAGAACCGATGAACATTTATTGAACTCGATGCCTGACTCGATATAAGCATTTAACTAAGGATATATATATATTAAAATGGTAAGCGAGACTGTTTCCACATCTAAACAAGTGTCAGCACCCGGAGACGAGATGAATACTTCTAACATAGATCTATCAGAGAACAGGTAAGTGACTAATATGAATCATATCATGTAATACCCACACCTAATGTCTTACTATAGAAACTGCATAGGGTGGTTGGGGGAATATGATATGAAACTATATCAAGCAGACTGTTTTGATTTAAAAGTATTTTAACTATATCGGACTTCTATTGACTTCGGTAAAATCTCAGTTACACGTTAGAATCAAGTGAAGTAATCTTTTCCACATGCGAATATGATTATTTGAATTTCATAAGCAGTACACTTAAGATGCAAAAATATGTAAATTAATGTACTACATTTTTATGAATCACACTATAAATTTTAACAAAAATATTTTGAAGTTTGACATTTCCCTCCGTTTCCCAAAATGTCGGACTCCTGAATAACTAAAAGCTATGTGTCAATCCATATATCGATTACATGTTTAGTAAAAATAAACACATATTATGCTATTTGTGTAGTTATCTTTTATATTACCGCCGATATGTATTGAAATAATTGACCCTGTATACACAACATCAAACACGATATCAAAATCAATTACTCATTAGGTATCGAAACCATACGTAGCCCGCAATCAATTTGCAAGAAAAATCGAACAGACATCTGAAGAATGGTATGACTCCGGAAAGTAGCATATTATTCATAGCACAACAACAGTTGAACCAATAATTAAGAAGTTGCATATGTCTTGTCTTTTCAAGATACTACTTATTGAAAAAAACGTCTGACTTTCGAGTGGAAATTATATCTATCATCACAAGGGATCAAAAAGGTTAACATTTCATTCGAATTCTTATGTATTTTACGAGATACAAACCGTGAATCTACAAGCATATACATACTGAATCGGATTATCATAATGTAAAAATTAATTATAACTTTAATGTTAATGCTTTATTAGTGTAATCTTTTACACATTTGTTTAATTTTTCAAATAAGAGCCGAGCAGATTCAACAAAATTGTCCAAAATATTGTGGCAACTCATGTTTGCAAATATATTTATTTTTACGAATTAAAACATTTTATTACCAGAATTTATCTCTGTCATCGCAAGGGCCCAAACAAATAATCATTGTTTATATTTCGTAAAACAATGAGGATACAACAACACATATATTTCTTGTTGCAGGACATATACTCTCAATACATTTATAAGTTTACATTATGTAAACTTATATGTTCAGATAAAGGTATGACAGGGAACAGTATGAGGCCAAATATTCTAAAATTGAGACAATTCTTATGAGATTGCTCACTAGGTCTGGTACTCCCTTTAAGCTTGCAGACAATCACATTACACATTCAATGCCTAATCTGCGATTTTAAAATCAAGCGCAATGTCTCTAATGTAAATAGCATAGATTATCTGATTTTCATAGTTAGTGTAGCATTTTTCATTTTATTTTTTTCTGTATAAGCTGTACAAATAGTGCCCAAAAGTGGGATACAACTTTGATAAAGCTCATAATGATATTTTGTATTCCAATATGTTTTATTTTTCAGATCATTCTTGGTATCTCTACTCTGCAGTCTATACGCATTGTTCATGATTGTCAGTGGATTAGTCATATGTTCTAACTCTTCAATTACTAGGAGCAACCCCAACTCCCATTACTATGTTGACGTGAGTTTAACTCTTGATATTTCTTGACATACACTGTATATACAAAGCTGTTACTGTATTTTTGATACACTAAGTGAGTAACTCTGCTACAATACACCAACACGTGCCTCAACGCCCCCATCTCCTTTCTAATGACCTCCTTTTCAAATATCAATCTGGCTTCCTCCCTGGCCACAGCACTCAATCTCAACTAGCAGCAATTGAACATTACCTACAAGACAATATAAATAACAAGAAATCTGTAAAAACTATCTTTTTAGACATTGCTTCTGCATTTGACCGTGTCCCCCACACTTTACTATTACACAAACTAAAAGCTTATGGCATAAGGGGCATGCTACTCAAACTACTCAAAAATTACTTACTAGATCGCAGAATAAAGGTTAACATATCTGGCATATCCTCTAACATATCCGACCCACACTTTATCAACTGTGGCGTTCCCCAAGGCTCAATCATTGGTCCCATATTGTTCCTAGTATATATAAATGACTTACCTGATAACCTAGACTCCAAATGTTTCATATATGCTGACGACACCTCAATATATTTCCCCTTTGACCCAAATAGCCCTAGTGACATTGATCAGACTGTTGCTCGTAATCTCCTTGCTATTGAAAATTGGTCACTTACTTGGAAATTAACATTTAAACCTGAAAAAAGCTTTGAACTTATTTTCCACAGTTCCAGAACCAATAATGTAAATATAAATCACTCAAACCTTTTCAACCAAGTTATTCAGAGAGTACCAAGTCACAAACATCTGGGATATGTCTTTGACCAACTCCTATCAAATAAAGACCACATCTTAGGTCTTCGAAATAAAATTACCAAAC